TTTTTTGAGTTGGAGTCTCACTGTGTTGCCCAGGCTGGAGTGCAGGGGCACGTTCACGGCTGCCCCAGCGTCGATCCTCTGGGCTCTGGCGATCCTTCCGCCTCAACCTTTCAAGTAGCTGGAACTACAGGTGCACGCTACCCCATCCGGGTAATTTTTGATTTATTGTAGAGACGAGGTCTCACCAAGTTGCCCGGGTGAGTCTCGAACCCGCAGGATCAAGCAATGCATTGGCCTTGGCCTCCCAGATTGCTGGGACTACAGGCTGAGCTACCGAGCCTGGCCTCCTCCCCTCTCTGTGGTCACTGGGCTTCTCTCAGGGTGGCTGGACTGCCTACCTTGCAGGGCAGAGCTCCAGTGAGAATGGAGCCAACAAGAGAGAAGCTGCACTGCTGTTTTAACCTTGCTTTGAATATCACATAATGTTACTTCCTCCAGGGTCCCCGTCCACCCAGATTCAAAGGGAGAGACACTATAAATCCCACCTGTTGAGGGGCCCATGACCTCTTCCTAGTGTGTGGCCATTAGATATTACAGCACCCAAGCCATCTATCATACCCAGGGACACAGCGGGTTGGAGAAGAGCTGGGATAGGTACTGCCGGCCAAGCCTGTGCGTAGTAGCCACTGCACTACATGTCACCATTCTATTGCGGCCAGCCAAGTTCTCAGTTGGTTAGTCTTCAGCTACACGTGTAAGCCTGAGGCACTATGCATTCTGGGAATTAAGTCCTGTCCTTAAATCTGTGGCAGTAATTCTGTCGTCCTGAATTACACATTGAATTGTGGCTCAGTCTCTGAGCTGGTGGCTGTGGCCATACAGGAATCAAACCCTCATCCTGACCACCTCAACAAATTCCAGAACAACGAGATAAATGCAGTGAAGTGGGTACTAGACTGGTGAATTGATAGGAAGTCCGGGATATGCTTGAAAATACTCTGGAAATCAAACAAAATGCCTACATGGGAGAGAAATGGGCGGAATAAGCTGTGAAAATTGTGGACAGCTGTTAAATATGGGTGAGCCTGGGGCTCGTTTGCTATTCACTCTTCTTTTGGGTATGTCTGACAATTTCCATAATAAAAAAATGAAAGACTCGAGGTAGAAAGGAGCCCCTGGTAGGTAGGCGGTAGGGACTTTGCTTCATGAAGTGTGAGGAGGAAGCTGGGAGAGGCCAGCCGTCCTCCAGAAGTGACATTCCTCCAGCTGTTTTCGTTTTCATGTTCAGAATAAAACTGTTCCCTGTTTTTGTTGTGTGGGAATGTATGT